AGTTCATCTTCACTTGCTGCATTTCTTGCTTGGACGCCCTTTGATGCTTTGCATCAATGCTTTTCTTGTGTTTGTTTGGATAACGAATGGCGTGAGACTCGGAGCAATTACTTAAGGTGATAGGGGTGGATGGGGTACTGACCTCCGATGTGTGGCCTCCTTAATTTGTACAGTAGCTTTGGAAAAAAGAATTTTTATTAATTTTATTCGCTTTCAACTTTTGGTGGAGCTGGTGTATTTATCATCTTGGCAGTCCCTTTTTTCACTGATTGAATGTTATCAGCCATATTTGATTTTCAGTTTTTCACTAGGTGGTTGATGCAAAGCGAAAAAGCGAAAGTAGGCAAATTTATATACACAAAGCTGAGAAAGTCAAATGACGAGTTATTTGCATATAGTTACGGTCCGTCATTTGACATTTTTTCCTTTGCTTTTATAGAAAAATATTCTTCTTTCACTTTGCACAAATCAATCAAGGCTGATAATTCCGAATTGAATTTGGAATCTCTTTACCACGTTCTACATGATAACTGTAATGAATAATGACAAATCTTACGGAATTAAAATGTAGTCAATTAAATGTCAATTAAATAGTATTACCTGATTTTTATATTACTGTATATCTAGGTGACAAAACGAAAACGAAAGTAAACCCAAAATTTTCATTTTCTTTTTCGATTTTTTAATTTTCTTTATTAATGTTTAAGGCTTAATATAAATTATGCTTATCTTTTAAAATTATATAGTATATTTAAGTTTTATATTTAAGTCTTTGTGACTTTACAGAGCCGCTAACCAGTCGTAACGTTTCGGCTTTTTCCGTCTAAATGGATAGCTCGATTTTGTCAACATCAACAAAAAAAAAATAACTCCAGAAAAAGTCGAATATCCGAGAGTACAAACCCGTAGAATATGTGGAATATAATATCAACAAGTATTAGCATTTCCAAAAATGCTTGGAATCGCCGTTCAGCAATGAATATAGAAATAATACTTCACGTTCCAAATACTTTTATTATGTGTGGGCCAACAAAAATACTTGATTTACTCTACCATCCCGTCTAGACGTGCTCAGTCAGAATATACAACATTCTATAAATGGAATTTATATTATATGTTATAAACTCCGTCGACTGCTTTGCGAGTTTTTTTCTGAAACGGACTATAACTGATCTGTCAGACGCGTTTATATTATATGGATGCTGCATTAAATGTTAAACTCGCCCGGAAAAAGCATTTATGACGTTTTTTTTCTGTGTCAGTTTTAATATACGCTCATTAAGACTACACTCTCGTATCAGAAATGACATGTAGCAAAAATATTGCAATTTGCTGTGTTTGACTAAAGACTGGTACTGAGTTCGTACATTGATAATGGTATTTTTCAGTTGTAAGAATAAGTAACCCGACAAAACATGGCGGTTGGGCGAGGCCATTTAAGAATCCCTCATTGAAGTTTTAGTTCATTCAAAATTGGCGAATCCAGTAAATGTCTGAATTATAGAATGTACAAAAGTGAATTCAGATTTGAAAAGTTTTTAGATATTTTACCAACTCATTTAGCTTTGGTACTATTGCGCTTTAGATGTATGAACCATAAATTGCCTATTGAGTCTGGTAGATTTTGTAATATACCAAGAGAATTAAGAGTGTGTAAGTTATGCAATACTAGCTCACTTGGTGATGAATATCATTACTTATTTAATTGTCAATTCTTTAATACTGATAGAAAAAGATATATTACTAGAGAGTATAGTACCAATGTGAACTTAAAAAATCTTCTTGTGAAAAACCACTTGTTCAATTTCAACCAAACTTGGCAGGATTGATCTTTGGGTGAAGGGCTTCCAAAGTTGTTCAAAGAATTTCATTCCATGCAGAAATCTGGTTGCAATGGCAACCAAAAGGAATTATTAGAAGAAATTTAAAAAAATCTTATTGTAAAGATCCAAAAGGCCTAGAGCTTAGATATTTTGCATAAGGCATTGTCTGGTAGACCTCTACCAAGATTGTTCAAATTATAGCCCTGGGGTCGAAATCGGCCCCGCCCCGTGGGTCATTGATTTTCACTATATATACATAGAGTAAAAACTTAAAATACCTTCTTGTATGAAGGTACAAGGCTTAGATGTTTGATATTTGGTATGTGATATCATCTATTAGTACTCTACCAAAGTTGTTCAAATTTTGCCTCTAGTGTAAAAATCAGCCCCGCGCCGGGGGTCATAGGTTTTCCTTATATGTATATAGTAAAAACTTTAAAAAGATGTTCTTCTCGAAATTGACAAATGCTAGAGGTTAGATATTTAGCATGAAACATTGTGCAGTGAACCTCTAGCAAGATTATTCAAATTATAGCCCTGGGGTCAAAATTAGCCCCGCCTCGGGGCTCATTGATTTTCACTATTTACATATAGTAAAAAATCAAAAAATCTTATTGTCTGAACGTACAAGGCTTAGAGCTTTAATATTTGTTATATGATATCATCTATAGGTACTCTACCAAAATTGTTCAAATTTTGCCTCTAGTGTCAAAATTAGCCCCGCCCCAGACGCGATAGTTTTCCTCATATGCTTTAAGTAAAAACTTGAAAAATCTTCTTCTCTGAAACTACAAAGGCTAAAGGTTAAATATTTGGCAGGAGACTTTGCGAAGTGAACCTCTACGAAGATTATTCAAATTATAGCCCTGGGGTCAACATTGGCCCCACCCCGGGGCTCATTAATTTTCACTTTGTATATATAGAAGGTCCTCTACTAAAGTTTTTCAAATTTTTCCCCTGGTGTCAAAATTGGCCCTGCCCGGAGGCATTGATTCTCATTATGTACACATAGTAAGAACAGAAACTAAAACAAATGTTTTCTGAATTGGAGAAAGCTGCAGCTTAGATATTTGACATGAAATGTTGTTTAGTAGACCTGTATCAAGATTGTTTTGAATTAAACCCTTGGGTCAAAATTTTGCCTTGCCAAAGGGGACAGTGACCTACTTTCTTGTCCTTTGATGTACAGCAATGAAATTTTGACCATGTGCACAGTTTAGTTGTAAAATTGAACTTTGATATCAGGTGACCTAGATTTTGATGATGTGACCTACTTTCTTGTCCTTTGATGTACAGCTATGAAATTTGAACCATGTGCACAGATTAAGATGAAAATGAACTTTGATATCAGCTGACCTAGATTTTGACAAAGTGTCTTACTGTGTTGTCCTTTGACGTAGGCTGTGTGAAATATGACCTTCACCACCAAATACACTAGACTCAACTGCATTGATATTCCTACTCTGATCTTTTATTTGAATAACAATAGATTTAACCACTTATCTGATAATAAAAATTAGAAAGGTCAGGGATCTATGCATTATGACAATCTTTAATTGTATAGAAACAAAAATCTGTTCCTACACTTCTATTTAGTGTTGTAGTAATGCGGTGGCATAGCATTTTTCACAAATGCAATGTTATTTGGTTCCAAGATGGCGGCGTTTGTTTACATTTTGTAGGATACGGCGCAGTTCTGATTCCCAGCCCTGTAAAAGTTATAATACATATTCTTCGATATCTAAGCATTCTTCTACATGTTTACAAAATTATAGTTGGAAGGAGAGTCGGAAAGCATACTCGTATGCGACAATGTCATTTGTGACGAATGTTCCATTACACGGATCGACCCTATCCGAAAGCTTTTAGACTGTTCTTTCTTTGTAAACTAGACATTATTTAAAAAAAACTAGAAATGTGTCTATAGGACACGGATGCCCCCACACGCCACTGTTCTGTCAATCTTATGACTTTAGGTCAAATATTTTTTGGACTACATGTGCCACAAGTTGAAAACTAAAAATCAACAAAGGGCCATAATTCTGTTAAATTTGATCGCAGCAAAAATTCCTTCTTTTACTACCATCTACACATTAAGGTTGTTAATCCCTGGAAGTTAAAGCAAAATCTGCCATCCGGTTTAAGAGGAGTTGCGTTCACAAAATTTCTACATAGTATATAATGAAAAAATCAACAAAGGGCCATAATTCTGTTAAATTTGGTTGCAGCAAAAAATTCCTTCCTTTACTGCCATCTACATATTAAGGTTCTTCATCCCCGGAAGTTTAAGCAAAATCTGCCATCCGGTTTAAGAGGAGTTGCATTCACAAAATTTCTACATAGTATATAGTGAAAAAATCAACAAAGGGCCATAATTCTGTAAAATTTGGTCGCAGCGAAAATTCCTTCCTTTACTACCATCTACACATTAAGGTTGTTAATCCCTGGAAGTTAAAGCAAAATCTGCCATCCGGTTTAAGAGGAGTTGCGTTCACAAAATTTCTACATAGTATATAATGAAAAAATCAACAAAGAGCCATAATTCTGTTAAATTTGGTCGCAGCAAAAATTCCTTCCTTTACTACCATCTACACATTAAGGTTGTTCATCCCTGTAAGTTTAAGCAAAATCTGCCATCCGGTTTAAGAGGAGTTGCGTTCACAAAATTTCTACATAGTATATAGTGAAAAAAATCAACAAAGGGCCATAATTCTGTTAAATTTGGTCGCAGCAAAAATTCCTTCCTTTACTACCATCTACACATTAAGGTTGTTCATCCCTGTAAGTTTAAGCAAAATCTGCCATCCGGTTTAAGAGGAGTTGCGTTCACAAAATTTCTACATAGGCTCTAGTAATTAAATCAACAAAGGGCCATAATTCTTTTAAATTTGGTCGCAGCGAAAATTCCTTCCTTTACTACCATCTACACATTAAGGTTGTTCATCCCTGTAAGTTTAAGCAAAATCTGCCATCCGGTTTAAGAGGAGTTGCGTTCACAAGATTTCGGGACGTACGGACGGACGGACTGACGGACGGACGGACGGACAAGTGCAACGCTATATGCTCCCACATTGTGGGGGCATAAAAATGAAATTATTAGCATACACATGAGCGTAATCTATTAAAGTAGAATAGAATTGTGCTTCTGTCTTTAACATTAGATAACCGTGTACTAACCTTGAACAGTATTTAAATGAATAGACTCACTTCTCCACTTGATGTTGAAGAATTGTTATGACTTTGTTTCGTATTGTACGTGACCCGGACATTCGCTGAAATAATAAAATGTTATATTGTAAGTGAACACATGACAATGAATATTGACTAGCTGTTAACAATAAATAGTTGTGTGAATAGAATAATCCAATCAAGGGTCATATAAAATGACATATAAATCATAATAATACATGTATAAAGATGAAAGATCAAATAAAAGATGTTAAAAAAACTTGATTCGTATTAACAGCAATAACAATGAATGTGAATGAACAAGTCAGTGAATCATATTTGTTACACATGTATATATATCTTCCTGAGATTTGCGTTTATACAACCAAAAAGTGTGAAGTTTAAAGGGATACTCATTTTGAGGCCATTTACAGAATAATGAATGAAAAATTCAAAACGAAGAAATGAAAATTTTGCCTTTGTCTCCCTTTAAAGCGTTTTGTTTTAGAACATGCTGTGCAACAAAAATGAATATTCTGGAAGAACGGAGTGAACTACTGCCAATTAAAACTCAGAGGGTTTTGAAGGTTTTCACTTCTTTACATGACACAAAATAATTGTGTATTCTCTGATTAAAGATGCATGCCTCCAGATGAGCCAAAATATTTCAAGAAAATTTAACTTGAAAAAAAAATGTACAAATATTTTAAGAAGGTAAAAAATGTTAAGTTTCAAGTAACAATGTAAATGATCCGTGCAATTTAAGACTAATTTTGCAATATTTACCACCGATATTCTACTGCGTTACTTACAATGTCAGGACTATTTTTGCATATTTTGACCTCTTTCTGGTTGATTTGTCTGGACTGTATATGCCGACTGTAATATATAAATTACTTTCTTTGTTCATCTCACAATATTATACTATAAAATACATTTTCAAAATTTTCCTTGAAATTGACATGAATCTGGAGGTGTGCTTCTTTAATGGACTCGTAAATTAACTTCCATTTTGTGACACATGCATATGACTAAATAATTTGACCCTAGTTATTTTCTACATTAAATAAAAAAATAAACTTTAAAAAGCAAACTTTTCTGCGAACAAATGACGAAACGGATATAATAAGTCCAGAAGATTTTTTTTTAAAAATACAGCGGTACCATTAAAAAATTAAGTAATAACAAAAATGCATTTCAATACAGTTTATAGAAGCGTTATCAAAAATATTTTACTGAACTTCATATGAATTAGATTACTTTAATGAACGATGAAGAAAACGTGAGACATTTTTTAAAAAAAAAAAAAGAACAAAATAATGATTAAATCATGTTAAAATTATTTACAATTAAACGGCGCATTCGTTTTAATATAACACAACGCATACTTAGGGAAACTTATAAGTGCGCCACTCTATATTCTTCCGAATTGTCAGTGGTGGTAGAATAAAGATGTATTAAAATAATAGTCTCCATCATTTTTATTGAATTATAGTCTCATAATGGTATTGCAGCGCATAGAAGCAAAGAGCAAAACGAAATACCGCCCCCCCCGAAAAAAAACAAAAAACAACAAAAAACAAAAAACAACAACAACAACAAAAACAAACAAAAAAAACCCAACAAAAAACAACAAACAGCAACAATAAACCCGAAACGTAAGTCTTCTATTTTTTACAACTTGTAAAAGGACTGAGTTTATAGTATCATGTATTTCAAACATCTGCATTTATTCTGTACCCTAAAGATTTTAGCTCATGGTCATGTGGCGTTTGCGTAAAGAGAGAAACCTGTGTCGTCGGTGTGAGGGTTTGAACGACCTCTCATGACTCATTACTTTATTTATAGTTTATTTATGGAGTTTCTGTGTACGCTAATCTTAAAGCGAGATAAATGAGATAGATATTGACCAATTGATTGATTAATGATCGATACTATTGAATATTCCGTTTTATGCAAAAACTGTTTCCGAGGAATATTGCATGCAACTTCTGACATGCTGACGAGGAAGACATGCATGCTTTTTAAACATCTCTTGTAAAAAAATGAAACAATGTAATTCATGTTATATTTTAAAAAATCGTTTAAGAAATAAAAGCAAAATTCGCTTTTTTCTACTGGCATACTTTCAAGTATCTCCAAGTATCATTACAGTATTTAACCCCCCCCCCCCAAAAAAAAAAAAAAAAAAAAAAAAAAAAAAAAAAAAAAAACAGCAAAAAAAACCCCCAAAAAAAACCACACACACACACACACACAAAAGCAGGCAATAAAATAGGTAATATTAAAATTCAAACAAAATGGACAGAATCAATAAAATGAATCAATAAATAAACTTTTTACATCAATTTAAATTTAAAGGGAAATCAAGATCACCAGCTTGAAATGCTGTGTATGTGTGTTAAGCTTAATTTATGTAAAGAAATACAACGAACCTTATACATGTATAGTTCTTTGACAGGAAGTAAACAAATACTGCTTGGTAACAACAGGAACGCAGTGAACGGTGATTTTTTTGTCAAGAAAAAGGAATGATTCATGGCAAGATGTATTTTCAATGATTGTGCGTAGTATACAAGCAATATCAGTTAATTTAAACTATGAGTTACAGACATAGTACTTATGATATCGAAGCTAAAATAAAATACCGCTTTTTGGGTTCCTATTTTTCTATAATTAGTTAAAAGTTAAAATTAGCTTCAATATTTTTTTCTTCAAAGAATGGATTTTAATGTTCGTATTGAAAACACAGGAAACAGTCTGTTGAATGTAATTATGTAATAACCCCACAGCGCATTTTTTACAAATAAGATATTACAGTTACAGGAGTAATGGACTATGTAAGTTTCACATTGTGCATTGATCCACGTATATACAACATTTCAAAATCCCAACATCTAAAAATATACCATCACACATTTTGGACGCAAAGGTTTTCTGATAGTGCATAAGTGAGGGATCCAGCGTGACCTAAACCATGTAGCTCGGTACTTTCAGTGAGAAAAGGTGTAGTCTATGTTACAGGAGTTTGGTTTAGCTTTTAACAAGTATGTTGATTTCCTTTAAATATTTGTATATGCATATGATAAATACCTAGCCATATATGTTTACTAACTGTAAGTACTATAGAAGACGGAAATTATGTTACAAATAAGTTATTGAAATGATGTCAATAGAGGTGCCTCGTTTTTATGTCAATTTTCGGGTTTGAGCTTCACAAGCCATTCTGCATCATTGGAATGATAAGTTAGTAAAAACAGGCACACAATTTAATATCAACAACCAGCTGTGCTTAGTGAACCTATGGAAAGCCTTGACTGTCTTATAATTATAAAAATGAACGTTGTTGTGTCACTCTTTCTTTATACAATGTGCACTCATGAATATATTATGTAGATGCATCCTTATATGAAGTCAACTGAACAATATACGATGTCAATGTGTCTTTATATGATGTCGACCAATCATTATATATATACGATGTGCATTTATGAATATATGATGTGGTAGAATCATTATATACAGTCAACTTTAATATCAATATATTATGTCAATCTTTCATTATACGATGTGCATCTATTATTATACGATGTGCATTAATGAATATATTATGTGGTTGCATCATATACAGTCAACTTATCAATATATTATGTCAATCTTTCATTATACGATGTGCATCTATTGTTATACGGCCGCTGCTTTATATGAAGTGCAAACATTATTATATCGTGTGCTTCTGTCATTATACTGATGGGATTAAATTTACCGGGTTATATCTCACTATGCACCGTTCGTGGCGACAGCGGGAAAACTCAAAGTAAATTGTATCATATATTGTTAAGTTGACTCTATATAAAGACGGTTCTACATAATATAATGTTATTTTGACTCTATATAAAGATGGTTCCACACAATATATTCATTAATGCACATCGTATAATGAAAGATTTAAATCATATAAGGACACATTTACATCATATATTGTTAAGTTGACTCTATATAAAGACGATTCTACATACTATACTGAAAAATGCACAGTGTATAATGATAGATTGACATAATATAAGGAGTCATTGACATCATATAATGTTGACTCTATATAAGAATTATTCCACATAATATATTCATAACTTCACATCATATAATGACAGACTGACATCATATAAGGACAGACTGACATAATATATTGTTATTTTGACCTTATATAAGGATGGTTCCACATAATATATTCAAAAATGCACATCGTATAATGATATATTGACATCATATAAAGACACATTGACATCATATATTGTTCAGTTGGCTACATATAAAGATGGATCCTCATAATATATTGACGAGTGCACATTGTATAAGGAAAGGTTGACTTAATATATTGCTATGTTCAGGTTTATAATTATAAGACAGTCAAGGCTTTCCATACTTTCCATATGAACCTATCTTCATTTATTTAAGAACAAACGTGAAGTGATAGGTTCTTTATTATATTGATGTTAAAATACTTATATTTCGAAATGAACATATTTAAAAAAAAATAGAAACGTTATAATGTCTACATTGATTTGTATGTTTTGTGTATTCGAACCGTTGTGGTTTAAGAATGAAAAGGTTATGCAATGCTTTTCTCACAGAGGGTTTTCAGTTATTTAACATTGCTTTGCTATTGTTTTTCTGGATGCAGTACACCTCGGCATGCCAAGCATACACTTATATATTTTAAAATGGAAATACACGTAACAACACATGACGTTATAGATAAAGGAATCATTTAAAATTTTAGCTTAATCAATAGTATTCTTTATAAACGGATAATATACCGTACAAATGAATTATCAAAGATGTGTTTGTTTCCAGGAGTGTATCAAAGTGTATTGCATCATTAGGTTATGTCTGGCAAAAGGGAAATTGTACCCAACGTAGAAGGTTGTGTTTCTTCTCGGTGAAGAAGGTGGTTGATAAAAACTTGGAATAAAGTTAGTGTAAATGCTTTTTAAGTATTTTTAACATTTAAAAGATAATCCCGCTTGGCACTTTACCTTGTGCAAGCATTCCTTAGTGACAATATCCTTGTATTATTTAAATGAAGAAATTGACAGCCAAATTAGTTGCACCCGCACCCTCTGTCAGTCTGTCCAAAAGAACCTCTTCACCTCATCAGAATATCACACTGGATTTATTTGGACAGGCATACCAAGTTAATAATACATATTTGAATCATTTGTATGATATATTACCTGATGAAAAATAATTATGTAAAACTAAAGATTTAGATTTTCTTTTCATAACATAATTAATTATTATTGTGTTTGAAATGTATTTCAATTTTCAAATTCACGTTTCCTCTTACTAACAGAAAGGTTTTAACTTTTAATTGATTGGTAAGAAGAAAATGTTAAAATGGTTGCACATAGCAAAGGTGTATTTTAAGTTTTAATTTATTGTTAAGAAGAAGACGTTAAAATGGTTGCACATAGCAAAGGTGTATTTTAAGTTAGTCACTGTTTCTAATTTTATATAAAATATGTTACAAAAAAGCCATTAAAAGGATGCCAATGAGGGTGTCCCGTTCTTATATCAATCTACATTATTTTGCTTCGGGGTTTGAGCTTGACAACTTATTCTGTACTATTGTAATGATACTTTTCAGTAAACTGGAACACAATTAAATATTCACAACCTCTTGAACACATAGATATCGCGTGTATGTTAGCTTTTTTAACTTTAAAATGAAAAACGTGTAGTTCGGGTCACCTTATAATCATTTTGTGTAACTTTACCGTTACTTCTATTCTAAAGTGATGTTAAATTAAATTTGTCAAAATAAACATGTTGGAAAACTTTCTTTTGGAATTTAAACTTTATTTTAAGCCAATATGATTTAATGAATGTTTCTATGGATAGAGTGTTTTCAGATAATCATACAATTATTTGACACTACCAGTGTATTTCCCTTATAGTATATTTATTTACTGCAGTGCATCTGGATATGGCAAGGTTTCGGAATAGACAACATTGAGGTTAAGAACAAAATCGCCTGAGCGAAAAGGAAAAATGAATAAGAATACCAATGCCAAGAAAAGCTGTTCCGAGGAAAATATAAAAAAAAATCACATATTCCACATGCGTCGTACATTGTATCCTCTTTCAAGCAAAACTACAACGACTTCGACAACGACTGCGACAATAAAGAATGGTTAAATACGACTACCACAACCTCTATAACTAAGAGCGCATCTACGACTGTGACTTTAACTATAGTCTAGAGACTAGAACCATTTCCACCACTACAAATTAAGAAGCGTTTCCACCGGCAACAAGTACGGCAGAGATTCCAGCAACAACCACGACTACGACTTCAAAAACTGTACCGGTGCAACTTGAAATTTTGATTTACGTTGAAAATTGACACCTCCACTTTATTTAATGATCCACCCACGCGTGAAAAAATGATCCCATTAAAAACTGATCAACTATAGACATGCCATTCTTAAACATTGATAAGTGATCAAAATGATATTGCCAAACATGCCTACATGTCTATATATGGTCTTACCCATGAAACAGTAATATTTCCGTATCCCTTTCAGATTTCTAAGTTATGAATATTTTATTCATATTCAAGTGCACCAGGAGCTAATATCTATCAGCAATAACTGATATTGGACAGCCATATGGTACGAATGAATACTTGATTAAGGATTTAGAACAACCATGTTATATTTCAACCCCTATCTTAGTCACTGATCAGGGTAAGAAACCGCTACGAAAGTTGTGGTGGAGATGAAAAAACGTTGTATTTATATGTTGAGTAACATTGGAAAACAACACAACGTTTATAACATTAAGCATACATTGAGTCAATATTGCGGCATTGTAAAAGTATCGGTTTAAAAGCGCGGGAAGATATTAATTTATAAATGATAATATATCGATTTGATCATTCATACCACATGGAGCAATTTTAAAAACAAAGTTAAGAAAATATTTCTTAAAACCATGGTTAGCTATAGATATTCTAATGAACAGATTTTACTAGTTCGTAAAATGACCATTATCATGGGACAAAACATTAGTTCCTCTGTGGAAGTCTTGATGGCCATGTCGGACTCCGACCATATAGACCCGTCTGTTTGAAATTGTTGCCTTTAACTTTCGTAAAATAGTTCCCTTGCCTTCTCGCCGAAGTAGTTCGCATTGGCTCAGGCTTGGCCATGTTATGCTAATGACGCCTTTGAGAGATTTTGTTTCTTCTTACAATTTAACTGTCAGAAAATGACATTTTATCAAAATATAATCACTGATTATTTCTCAACGACTATTTGATCAGAATTCAATGTTGAAGGCCGTTTCAATTCTCAATGTAAACAAAATATAATGACGTACCAAAGCTATATTCGAAGATAGTTTTGTTCTTGGTCAGAATCTCGCTTTGCCCATACTCAAATTAGCATATTATCTCAACTCGAAGTCCAATAAGTTCGACTATTCGCAACGTTGAAAAATAACCCAGGTTAAGTTTTCGAAATTGAATAATGACCAAGGGGTCAATTTTCAATGGGCCATTTTTAGCTCGACTTTTTTTTTGAAAAAAAAAAGTAGAGGTATTGTTATAGTCGCGGCAGCGTTGCCGTTACCGTCCGCAAACATGTACCTGGATCATAACTTTTTTATTTCTTTGTGTATTGTCTTTATACGTGGCCACAACAACCCTTGGGACAAGACCTTTCAGTAGACCACACTAACCTTGACCTTCATCCATAAATGACCTTGACCTTCAAGGTTAAAAGTCCAAATTTTGCTTGTTCATGCTGTTATTGGCTGTAACTTTGCTATTATTGAATGGATTGTCTTCAAACTTGAACATAATAATCTTCAAGGATATCCCTTAAAAATGACCAGACAGACCTTGACCTTCACTCATAAATGACCTTGACTTTGAAGGTCAAATTATTGAAATTTTCATTTTTTTGGCTATTATTGGCTGTAACTTTGTTATTTATGAATGGATTGTCTTCAAACTTGAACATAATAATCTTCAAGGATATCCCTTAAAAATATCTAGACAGACCTTGACCTTCACTCATAAATGACCTTGACTTTAAAAGTCAAATTATTGAAATATTCATTTTTTTTTGGCTATTATCGGCTGTAACTTTGTAAATTGAATGGATTATCTTGAAACTTGAACATAATAATCTTCAAGGATAACTCTTATAAATAACCCGACAGACCTTGACCTTCACTCATTAATGGCATTGTCTTTGAAGGTCAAATTAATGAAATTTTCATTGTTTTGGCCGTAACTGACTGTAACTTTGCTATTATTGAAAGAAACAACTTCATATTATAACAGAACATTCTTAAGGACCAGACCTTGTTGTTTATCAAACCCAAATTTGCTTGGGCTCTTTAATGACCTTGACCTTGCAGGTTAAATTACTGAATTTTCTCAGATTTGTGCATTAAATGACCATAATTATATATTTATTGGTGTGTGTGTGTGTGTGTGTGTGTGTGTGTATATAGATTTGTATGTTACTATTTTTAGAATTGCGTGTTTCTATTTTTAGAATTACATGTTTTTTATTTTTAGAATTGTGTGTTACTATTTATAGAATTGTGTGTTACCATGTTACTATTTATACGTAGAATTGCGTGTTACTATTTTTAGAATTGCGTGTTTCTATTTTTAGAATTGGGTGTTTCTATTTTTAGAATTGCGTGTTACTATTTTTAGAATTGCGTGTTTCTTTTTTTAGAATTGTGCGTTTCTATTTCTAGATTTGCGTGTTACTATTAATAGACTTAGGTGTTTCTATTTCTAGAAATTGCGTGTTACTATTTTTAGAATTGCGTGTTACTATTTATAGAAATGCGTGTTACTATTTTCAGAATTGCATGTTTCTATTTAGAGAATTGCTTGTTTCTATTTATAGAATTGCTTGTTTCTATTTTTTAGAAATTGCTTGTTACTATTTATAGAATTGCGTGTTACTATTTATAGAATTCCATGTTACTATTGTTAGAATTACGTGTTACTATTTTTAGAATTGGGTGTTTCTATTTTTAAAATTGCGTGTTACTATTTTTAGAGTTGCGTGTTTCTATTTTTAGAAGTGCGTGTTTCTTTTTTTAGAATTGCGTGTTACTATTTATAGACTTAGGTGTTTCTTTTTTTAGAAATTGTGTGTTACTATTTTTAGAATTGTGTGTTACTATTTATAGAATTGCGTGTTACTATTTTTGGAATTGCATGTTTTTATTTATAGAATTGCTTGTTTTTATTTATATAATTGCATGTTTCTATTTTTAGAAATTGTGTGTTACTATTTATAGAAATTGCTTGTTACTATTTTTAGAATTGCGTGTTTCTATTTTTAGAATTGCGTGTTTCTATTTTTAGAATTGCGTGTTATTATTTTTAGAATTGCGTGTTTCTATTTTTAGAATTGCGTGTTTCTTTTTTTTAGAATTGTGTGTTACTATTAATAGAATTGCATGTTTCTATTTTTAGAATTGCGTGTTTCTATTTTTAGAATTGCGTGTTATTATTTTTAGAATTGCGTGTTTCTTTTTTTAGAATTGCGTGTTTCTATTTATAGAATTGCGTGTATCTATTTTTAGAATTGCGTGTTTCTAGTTATAGAATTGCGTGTTTCCATTTTTAGAATTTCGTGTTTCTATTTAAAAAATGCGTGTTACTATTTTTAGAATTGCATGTTTCTATTTATAGAATTGCGTGTTTCTTTTTATAGAATCGCATGTTTCTATTCATGTGACAAGACAGACCAACTATATTCATAAAAAGGAAACGTTAAGATATGTTCAAACCTTTCTATGTTTGCTTTTAGAAAAAGTACAAAGTCGAGCGTTGCCCCCGCCCGGAGGTGGCTCTTATTTTTGTTACACCGGCAGCTATATATGGCCACGACTTCGGCAACGACTACTACAAGTTAGATCCTGTATGTACTACAAGTTAGATCCTGTATGTGTTATGATTGAGATTGTTACCACACTAACGTGAAATTATATATGTATATAATTATGCTATTACAACAATTTTCAAACATCGCAGAATATGTAAAATATGTACTGCAAATATTTGTGCCTATTATATGTACATTATATGCATTCATTTCTTATTGGAAAATTTGACTAACAATTTATAGAAAATAGATTTCTTATTACCTCCCTATATTTACATGAAATGTTAAATTCGCTAATATCTTTAATAAATAATGCTTTTTGGAACTTACAACATTGATAACTCTTAATTTGAGCATCATATTTTTGATATAAAACCATAAAAAAATTAAGTTCATATCGGTTATCAGATATCATTTTGTCAAACAGAAAGTAATGTAATAAAGTAAAAAGTCTTTGAACAACAAATCTGGTAAATGACAAGAATGTATAAATGCTTGCTTGATATGTTTATAATTAAAATTATTTTGTCGAATTTTTGTACATTTTGTGTTCGATATGATATTGTATTACACAATGCCAAGACAATTCCCAAATAGCATATTGAGAGTTGATTTACCTTATTAAATTGTAAATTAGGAAGTAAAATGATTTCCTTCCGCGTTTTGTTAATGTTCAAAATAAAATGTGTTTTTGTCTATATTGAGAATATAATCGTAAAATTCTATGATAATTTCTGTTCATAAATACAATTTGAAAAAAGAATATACCTGCTAGATAAGTCAATAAAATCCAACTACATGAAGTCGGTATTTTAAAGTCTGACAAATTGAAACACAAGGGAAAACCCCACTAAGCTACTTTCGATTCAACGATCGGATGAGCTTAATAGGCAATCGCAACTACTCGGCCCTTTCCGCCAGTCTTCTGATAAGGACCTCGATGCGGTATTTCGGTCAAACCTACGCTAAGAAACTAAACATGTAAAGAAATAGTAATTTAATGCTGGGAGTTGTTGACAAGATTATTTCCAATATCTGTAGTAAAAGTCCATCTAAAAATAAGTGAATTCATAGGTACAAAAGCAAACAATACATTATGTATATATATTTATTATTATGGTTTTAGGAACCGAAAGTACAAAAAACCAACAGGTTGACATTTGGTCGGATATGTTTAAAATTGAACATCAGTGGGCATATTTAAATTACAAATTGTTGTCAGACATATTTTCAAGCATAAGAGGACCGGGACAGACATCAGATGTCAAATATATACATTCGTTTTACATTATCTCTGTTTCTGTTTACATCTGTCAAAACCAAGTGTAGGACTACTTTCAATCCGTATTGTTTCCGAGGTTATTATAGATAATAGCCGAGGCAGTTCCGAATGCGTAATAGGCATTACAAATTCTCATTCGGAACTGCCTCGGCTATTATCTATAATAACCTCGGAAACAATACGGATTGAAAGTAGTTCTACCACGTGGTTTCAGATGTAAACAGAGATAATGTAAAACGAATGTATATATTTGACATCTTATGTCTGTTCCCGTACTCTTGTGCTTGAAAATATGTCTGACAACAATTTGTAATTTAAATATGCCCACTGATGTTCAATTTTAAACAAATCCGACTATAAATGTCTAAAGGTTGTTTTTGTACTTTCTGTTTCTACAGCCATAATAATAAATATGTAAATAATGTAATGTTTGCTTTTGTACCTATGAATTCACTTATTTTAGGTGGACTTTTACTACATATATAGAAATAAACTTGTTTACATGTTTAGTTTCTTAGCGTAGGTTAGACCAAAATACCGCATCCGTTCTGTGTATTCATACTATTGTGTTCGAGGTCCTTATCCGAAGTCTGACGGAAAGGGCCGAGTAGTTGCGATTGACAAATTCTACCACGTGGCTTTAAACCTATGACTGACTAAATCTGAGGAGTCGAGGACCGAAAATTGAGGGAAAGGTCCGAAAAGTTGCGTTTGTTTTCTGTTTTTGTGAGATATTTTTATAAACAGTTTTCACACTATCTCACGTTGTTATACTGATGAATACAGTCTACACATTTCTTTGACGAGCATGGAATACATATTGTTCTTAAATAACAGACAACAATTTGGAGGCACGGTAATCTCAAAGATTGATTTGTAGACTATTGCTTGCCAGAATAAGTGTTCGGAGTAACAAATTAATTACTTTGATGCCCGCTCCATTCGTTGTTGAGTACAGAAATGTGTACATTAGACAGTACGACGTACATGAAAAGATCAATAACAATGCTATATACATGTTGTACATCTATTGTAATGATGTTATCATAATGTCATGTAAGTAACTGAAACAATTAAAACCTTTATATAATCACTGATAACCTGATTTTTACCAAAGTGCGAACAATTGCCTTTTTAAAGTTATACAGATACACAATCTCCCGTGCTTGCATTTTTTACATTTCATTTCATTTCAATGGCAAATAAACATTACATTTGGCCATTAACAGAGTATCATGACAAATATGGCCAGTAGTTTAACATGTACAAACATTATATCATACAATATACAATAAAAAGAATACAAAAATAAAACTAAAAAGCAGTTACATATTCAAAAGACTGTTGTACGGTGGCACAAAGGTGACATGTATGTGTGTTTTTATTTATCTCGTGCGCACGAGATACTATGTCGTGGCCATGAGTTACTAAGTCTTGGCCACGAGATAGCTAAGTCGTGGTCACGAGATACTATGTCGTGTCCACGAGTTACTAAGTCGTGGCCACGAGAAAGCTAAGTCGTGGCCATGAGTTACTAAGTCGTGGCCACGAGATAGTTAAGTCGTGGGCACGAGATACTATGTCGTGGCCACGAGTTACTATACAGTTACTATAACTGGCTAACATAAAAGGAAGTGGTATTCTGATTCAACAGAGTGAACAAAAGGAAGTCTTCCGCATATGATAACACCAGGAAAGTTTATGTCGGGTCAAATCCCCCCTTTTAATTTATTAAATATTTCTTTTTAATTATTGTATCAGGGAGGGGACCAGGATTTCCGGTGCGCACAAGGGAAATTTTGGCTTTTATGAACGTAGAAAGACACTTCATATCTCTTATATACTTTGTTCAGTTGGTTTGTCACTGTCTTAAATATTCGCTGTTTTCTATGGACATTTCGTGCAAAGGTTTTTTTTATAGATATTGATTAAAAACAATTGAATGAATTATTTAACTGCATATTGCTGATACAGATATCTAAATACAAGTATACATTTTTTTTTATCTCCTTTATTTAATTATGATATGTATTTCTAGCTATTCACTGTTGAAACATAGATATTGTTTGGTTTTATTAACCTGTCAATTACATACTGATTACACGGTCGATGCACACAATATATTAATCTTCGGTAGATTTTCGGAAAGTTCCGTGAGATGTACGTTGTACGATGGAATTTAATTTAATTTGTACCTATGAACTAAGTGTACTGATCGTTATAGCGCAATAGGGTAAAGCACGAGTTTATAATCTAAGTGTCATAAGTTTTAAGTTCGAGACCGCGTTGGTCCATGTTTTTTATTATTCCTATAATACTTTCAACATTATTATAGCTACACATGATTATTTTTTGTGTTGTTCGTTTTGTTTTATTATGTTTTGCTTAATTTTGTAAAGTCTATACTCTTTTTAAATAACATGTTTTAAGAATTCATGTTTAAAATTAAAACAGATTAAAACCAATAAATGTCTTTTCAATGCCTTAAAACACACTACAAATCTGTTCCATTAAAATATACTGCAAAAATAAAGAGAGAGTAAATCCTAAAAGAATTTCATCAGTGTGGATCGAACCACAGACCTCTCAATAATCAGGCATTCTCTTAACCGACTGCACTATTGCGAATTAACGAAAACCTTCACATTAAGCTGGCCTGACTTTCAAAACATGACTTATATACTCCACATTAATTCTCGTAAACTACACGGACCAAACCGAAGTGGGGTCGAATATTTAAATGAGTGCTTTAATGTATTCATAATTGACAGGTCAATAAAATCAGACAATACAACTTAGTAAATAAACGTTACACAATTTGAGCAAACCTTTTTTTATTCACATATTAAACAACAACAATACGTTTTATTGATTTGACCACTTACAAATCATCATCATACACATTACATTGACATGCATGTATACGTGAAATTAGCAGTATGGAAATAAAAAAGGTAAATAAATAATAATAAAAAGGATACAAACAAACTCATTATTAACGCTCCATGAGCGTTAAATGGCGGTTGAACATTATATATATTAGTTCTTTCCATCATAGGGTACTTTCAGAATTGTAATGTTATCATAAATTTCAATAAGTTCGCTTGTATGCTTAGTGTTGACAATAAATTCTTTTAATAATGCAAAAATATTTTGAAATGCAAACACGAAATAAAGTTTCCCTTTAAAAGGAAAGGCTTGCACAGTTGTGCCTTCATCCCAACCTTTTAAAATTGTTCTTTTTTTGGGGGGTTTCAATTTATTTTCACATTTTTTTTTGAATTACGGTATTTGTATATGATCAATCGTAAAATTATTAACGTGATACTGAAGGAAAACAAGTGTGCACATCTCATTTCCCCTTTTTCGCAGCGAAATCATTCCTTTGCTTTATAGACAAGTAAATGCACTAAAATACTTCGTTACGTGGCATGTATCAACTATGATACATAGATCAGCACGTGGCAAGGTTAATGATATGCATGAGCTATTTTTAGATTACCTCACCAAGAAGTTGAAGTGCGTTCAGTAGATCTAAATATAACTCGATCATGCGTGATTTGGTAAGCAGGACCACCCTTTGAAGACGGAATAATACTACAGTCACCATTCTCTATTGTATAAAACTAATACAGACAAAAAAACAATTATAAAAGAAACTAACTTTTGCGTCTTGAAAAACAAATGAAACGGAACAATTTCGTTTATAATTTATTACGGTTTAAACCGATAAATCAAGTAAAAATAGAAATCCTATTTATATACACAAACTGGGATTACCGAAGTAACTAAAATAGCTTAGATTTCCGTAATATTACTCCGCAGTATGACGGATTCGCCCGAATTGTCACGATTGCAATCGGAACTTCATCGGCTATTATCATTAATCCGAAGACTGACGGAAAAGGCCGAAAAGTTGCGATTGGCACGATTGCAGCTGGTTTCCCGTTCAATCATGCACCAACAGATGTAAGCAGGAAACCACCTAACCGGAACAAGTTTTCCACATGAAATGGCTTGCAGCCGTGGCTGCAAGCCAAAAAGATTTAACAAAAATACATCCGCTCAATAAACTAGAGTCTTACGCACGCAGCGCAAAAGCTTCATAGATAAATTTTCCAAGGTTTAGCCGTGTATGCTTGAAAATATTCAATACTTGAATATTCGTTGAAGCACAGAACACTAGCAAAGCTAAATGAGCAAATAAGTTTGAACATAATCTCAGAGACAAATGTAAGATGTTATCTCTTATATACTCTACATAAGCAGCGTGTAGTTGATCATGGTCTTCAGCAATGTACTAAAACAGCTTATTTCTATGAAAAAATCGACGAGATCATTCAAGTACAAAGCAATAAAAAGAAAAAAGGGGTTTAAAGTTTCACCCTGAAAAACGCCATGTTGACTTGCGAAACCTTTAAAAATTGGTCTTAATAGCGGGGTGGTCTTAAAGATCTTGTAACACAATTTTTTACGGTTTTAAATCATAAATAGAATGCTCAAATTAGTATGTATTAATTTTGTAGGTTCCAAAAAGCATTA